TAAACTTTGAAATGGGGCAACAGTGCAAGTCATAGACTGAGTCATAGACAAATTCTACAATTATCTTGGAGTCAAAGTAGTCCTTAAAATAGTCCTTAAATTTGTCAAAGAAATTAAGTAAGACTTTTCATGAGTACCCCTCCTTGGCAAGCTGTCAGGCAAATTTTGAAAAATAGAGTAGGAAGATAAAAGAAATCTAAGCTTTTAGTTCAATATGCAGTCTTTGATGAATCAGCTGGCATACTAAAAATTAAGGGTAATTTATTACTATCATGTGTGCTAATCCTTACAAAATACTATAAGTATCACACACCTTCTTTTTAAGATATCTCCAGGAATATCAAGCTTTAGGAACAGCAGGAGGAATCTATCATTTCCGTGATCAGATAAGCTCAGGGAATCCTGATGCTTTCTTTGTGCTAAATGGAGATGTATGTGGAGACTTTCCCCTGCAGGAAATGCTTGACTTCCACACCAATCTTACCACACCTTCTCTCATTACTATTATGGGTACAGAAGCCACAAGACAACAGTCTACTATGTATGGTTGCATTGGTAAGAATACATTGTAGTATATCTGGTAAGAGTATGTTGTATTATATCTGTAATTGCTTTTCATTATTATTGTTATTATTATCATTATTATTATCATTATTATATCAGTATTACACCATAAATAAATAATGTTAATGTATATATTATTATATTTCTCCAGTTGAAGCAAAAGACACACATCAGGTCCTCCATTATGTTGAGAAGCCATCCACTTTTGTATCAAACCTGATTAACTGTGGTGTATACATCTGCTCCCCTGATATATTTAAAAGAGTGGGTGAAATTTTTAACTCAAGACAAGATTTTTACAGGTAAGTGCATAGTGACACTGAGAAAATATGAATGAAAATCTAGTAAATTTTATGATACTGTTTTAAATGTGATATTTTATTTGTTTTATACTGAGATTATGCTGTGCATGGCGGACTTTACATTCCAGTGATGACAGTGAGGGCAATGAATCTATTCAGCTAGAACAAGACATTCTGATGCCCATTGCAGGCACTGGTCAAGCCTATGTTTACACCACAGACAGGTCAGTTTTCTATGATAATTGGTATATGTTAACCCATTGCTGATGGGCATGCCATGCCATGCCCACTGTGGGTTTACTTATTTGATTGTTTTTACACATAGATGGCTACACTTGTACCAAGCCACCAATGAGCCAATTAGGAGTACTGCCTGTCTCGGCAGTTCACATATTTCTTTAATTTTCGAAAATATTTTAAGTTCTCTTATTTTGCCATTACTAATGTTTATAACATTATAGTAATTATAATGTCTATAATAAAAATAACACCATCAGTATTCATAGATCTAGTAAAAAATACATTTTCCCGCCAATTCAAGAAAAGATGAAATCACATAAGGCAGTGCCATCTATGTGTAGAGACATTTCACAAAAAAAAATATTTAAAAAATAAGCACAGCATTTTACCCATTTTTTATTCATTTTCCTCGGCGGCAAAGGGTTAAACTTTCTTCAGACGTATTTCCTCTTCTAACTCACTGTCTCTTATCCATTCCTCTCAAGCAAATATATATGTTTAGCTTTTTAGGAGACAGCAGTTTCATGGAAAAAAATGTGTGTGTGTGTGTGTTTGTGTGTGTGTGTGCACGTGCTCGCTAGATATATTTAAAATGAAATTACATTATTGTGTCCTTTCTCCTGATTTAGGTGGTGGTCTCAAATCAAGACTGCAGGCTCTGCCATTTATGCCAATCGCCATTACCTCCAACTCTACCACAAGCAGAAGGAAGATCGCTTAGCCACAAATGGGCCAGATAAACCAACAATCATTGGTGATGTTTACATTCATCCAACAGCAAGTGTTGATCCATCTGCAGTGGTAAGCCACAAATAAACTTTGCAACAGATGTGTGCTTGGGATAATGGATAATAAACAAAGAGAACCACTGAAATTGATTATAAATATTGTGGTGTGGTTGTTTGCGCATTGATACATATGCATGTTTGCACATGTTCCAAATTTATACATGCATACATATGTTGATACATTATATTGTCTTTCCAGTTGGGTCCAAACGTGAGTGTAGGAAAGAATGCAGTAATTGGTGCAGGTGTCCGTATCCGAGAGTCTATTATTCTTGGCAACACAACAATACAAGAACATAGCTGTGTGCTGTATACGTGTGTATTAGTTTGTTTTAGTTCTGTTTTAGCTATTCTGAGAGCGTTAATATTATCATTGTATTATGAATCTTTAGTTCTTTGAAGCTGTTTACTACACAAATGTGCTACTCAGATTTTTTAGGACATTTGTAAAGCTCAGAGTGAAAAAATATGAAATACTTAACGTGAAATATTAAGTAAAAACTTAAGTGATGGAATGGCTGCTTAAGGAGAACAAATTTTAGAACAGACACCTTTCAGGGTGGTTGGATGGAATTCGACAGTTGGAGCTTGGTCACGCCTAGAAGGAACACCTTGTGACCCAAATCCAAACAAACCCTTTGCCAAAATGGATAATGTACCTCTTTTTAATAATGAGGGCAAATTAAATCCTTCAATAACAATCCTTGGTGAGTACTGATCATGTGATTTTTATTTGTAAAATTCCTTAGTTTCTTTCAAAATTTATTTTTAGAATACTTAGATTTGTATTTTGCTAGGTCATCATTATAACCGGATGGATTTTGTTTTTATGTCAAATTTAGAAATTTTACCATCAGTATCTTGCTGCTTCTGCTCATGCTACATGCCTAAACAACCAAATTTAGTGGAGTAGTCTTTCATATTGTCTGTCTTTTTTCCCTCATTAATATTTTATTCACATCAGTTTGGTAATTTTTTATTTATTCAGTTTACTATCTCTCATTCCCATGAAAGAAAAAAGGTTAGTGTCCTCAATTCTCTATTTCTCCATTTTCTTTTCTTCACCCCTTTTTCATGTTTTCTATCCCTCCTCTCCCATGCAATATTAGTGTTTTCCTTCTTTTCTTTCTTTTTCTCTACTTCTCTGTCTCATTCAATTTCTCTCTTTCTCCGTCATGGTTGTCTCTGCCCTTTTCTGCCACTTTCTCCCTTTTTCTTTCTGTCTGTATTATCTCTCTCTCTCTCTCTCTCTCTCTCTCTCTCTCTCTCTCTCTCTCTCTCTCTCTCTCTCTCTCTCTCTCTCTCTCTCTCTCTCTCCTGATAAACAATTTATTGGTGGTATTGGTGGAGAACCCATGTCATAAGGGCTCCTCTATGTGTCTGTCTCTACCTGTAAGTTGATGTGGAGGAGATGATGGAGAACCCATGTTGTAGCAGACATTGTGGTTCCTCCACTTTATTGAGTAGTTACCTTTAGCAGGAGGAGAGTGACTGGCATCCCTTATGGTTGTGGCTAAGCAAGAGCAGGTAGTTGGTACTCTACTTTCAGACTGAATCAGGAAGAATTGACCTGCTTAATCACTTCACAAGGTTTTGTTCAGTGGTGTGCCTGTGGTTGCCCTTTGAGAAATAGTACATTGTGGATCATAACATTGAAGAGATTACACTGCATGCAATAAACAGCTAATACAAGAATTACAGTAAAACGTTTAATTTATGATCATATGAAAGCAATTGCCGAATTGATTTTCAATCTCTCTCTCTCTTTTCTTCTTTCTTTCTTTCTTTCTTTCTTTCTCAATCTCTCTTTTTCTCTCTTTCTCTCTTTCTTTCACTCTTTCTTTTTCTCTTTTTCCCTCACTTTCTCTCTCACTTTCTCTCTCTCTCTCTCTCTCTCTCTCTCTCTCTCTCTCTCTCTCTCTCTCTCTCTCTCTCTCTCTCTCTCTCTCTTTTTTCTCTCTCTTTTTTTTCTCTCTCTCTCTCTTTTTCTCTCTCTTTTTTTTCTCTCTATCTCTTTCTCTCTCTCTCTTTTTCTCTCTCTCTCTTTCTCTCTCTCTCTTTTTCTCTCTATCTCTTTCTCTCTCTCTCTTTTTCTCTCTATCTCTTTCTCTCTCTCTCTCTCTCTCTCTCTCTCTCTCTCTCTCTCTCTCTCTCTCTCTCTCTCTCTCACGCACACACACGCACATGCACGCACACCCACACACACACACTTCTCCCACCTCATTAAAAACTGAATGGAAAATGGGGTTGACCGTGCATTTTTTGTGAAGATTTGTATGATATGTATCCTGTTCTTGTGAGTTATTATGAAACTGCCATGTTATCTTGGAAATGTTTTATATGGTAATTTACAGTGAATCATTTTACTGTGAGGATATGATACCAGTGGTATTTTGTTGGTATAGTTAAGTGGCATTTCCCTTAAATAATATTAGACATATTCAATCAAGATGTTTATCTATAAAGTATTGCCTTTTTACATACTACAGGTACTGATGTGAGAGTCTCATCAGAAGTGGTGGTATTAAACTCCATTGTGCTTCCAAATAAAGAACTCTCTACTAGCATCCTCAATCAGATTATTCTTTGAGTTGCATCTTTCTTTGACTGGACACAAGGCAATTTTAGGTTTGATATTCAAGAAAATCTCTTTACTTTATTTTTATTTATTTATGTATTGACCAAGACCTTAGGGTGCCAATCAGAAGATGGAAGTGATTTTTTTATCCTTCTGTTTTGTTGTAACCTAAGCTCATTTGGTCAGAAATTGCATGTAGCATATGCCTTGATAACTGTCCTGATTTTGATACTTGCAAAGATAGATTAAGTGATGGGATTTGCTTGAACACTTTATAAGTTATTTTGGTTATGTTTGGAGTATTGCCATTCTAATACTACAGACATTGTTCAAATGGCTGTTTTTTTGTTTTGTTTTTTGTTTTTGTTTTTCTTTATTTCTTTTCTTTTGCATTTAACAGTATTTGGAATGTTTATACATCTAGTAGATTGAAATTAAAAGAAATAATATCAAATTGACCATGCATGAAGTTTCTGCTCAAACACTATCAAATTAAAGTAAAACTGATGTGTAGTCTGATATTGTTAATTTGATTGCATTAATTGATTTGCTTTGCTTTGGTAACTGTCTTGCAGTGGTTTTCTATTTCCCATATTAAATCCTGAAATGGGTAATTTGCTCCACATATCCTTCAGATTATTTATATAAAAAGATAGATAAATAAAAATCCATTATATCTTTTAAAGCTTGCCTATCTCAAGGAAATAATGAAAAGCTGATAGAAAATGAGCAAAGCTGATAGAAACTGAAACATTGTTATGTAATGCATATGCTCACAAAGACTGCAGATGTAGGAATATAGTCACAACTTCTATTTGTATATTAGGGCCTTAAGCTTCAGATTTTTGCAGCTCTTCAAGAAGTTGAATAAAAAAGCTAACTAGAAAAGAAATCTCCCTGAAACCAGTTATTGCCCAAAGAGAAAGTCAAATGAACGAATCTTTACCCTTATATGCATGCAGTGATGTGTTTCAAGTTTCAGTATTTGGCCTGTCTCTGCATTCCATTTACAAGAAAAGTTAGGAATTTCAGGGAGAGGAGGGCCAACATCGGAAATGGGGGTAGTCAAACAGTTACATGCATTAAAGGACATTGCCAATGTCTTATTAATAATGAAAAAAGGCATAAAAAAAGCTTGCAAGTTTTTGACAGGGCTTGAAAGATCATAGTACATAAGATTAACCACATATGATGAAACATGCTACAACCATGGTTAATAGAACACTTTTGGAGTTAAAGAGGAGAATTTTGGTTAAGAAAGAGATATATAACTAAATAATCATAATCTCTGCATTAATGATAGGCTAAGCCAGTCATAAATTTGTCATTTTACCTCCAAAAATTCAGATTCATTTGAGGTGAGCTGAAGTCTTGGATGAAGGTTGCATTAAAAGAAAAGAAATGAAAAAAAAATTATATGAAAATTGAATATTATTATTTACAAAGTCCGTCAGCACTAGCAGCTAGCTGGGAAATATCCACAGATAAAGATACTTTTAGATACATATATCCCGTAGGACAGCACTGCATGTACATAGCCTCCATCAGATATTAAATGTTTTTTTTTTTTTTTTAACCCACTCACATCACATGACATCTAATCACATCATGGTGAACTGGGCACAAATGCCAATAGCAAGTACCCATGCCAGACGCAGTCACCCTGCTCTAAGTTGTGTGTGCTAAACAGTGTTTCAGTCTTTTGGCCCTGACTGTCATTGAGGATAGACAGCCCCTCAAAAGTAAGCTGAAAGTCTCTTTTTAGCCTCATTAAAAAAAAAAAAAAATGTATACCACAGCCATGAATGTAGAGATGGATAAATGTTTGTTTTCCACACTTCTAATTTTTCACTCAAGCAGCTGACTGTATATGAAGCCCAGTGTGTGGCTCAGAAAAATTACATGACTTTCTGGTTAAACTTCCCAGTTCCATTGCAGGGCAATAAATGGGACGAGTATGTGATGATATGTCTGCCTAGGCGCCCATTACCAGCCATGAAATCAGTTCATGTCAGTAGAAAAAAAAAATTGCTTTAACCCTATTAGAAGTAAGGATGTTTGTGATAGATATTGTATTAGCTCTAAAGAATTCCTGAGTTGTCGTCTACTAGCTCAAGCAGTAAAAGTGGCTTTACCATCCAGTAACATCCTAGAGGAGAAATGGTTTCTGTTGGTTTGCCTAGAGGCTTTAAGCTGTTAAAGCAGGATCACACATTACTTCAAACATGAGGATTTTGGGTGTTATCAGTGCCTCAAAGCATTTCCTCATCTTCATTGAGTTGCAATGCCTTTTTGAGGTGGTAGGTAGTTTGGCAGGAAATATTCATATATGCTGCTATTCTCTGCAATCTAAACAGAGTAATGGCCTCTCAGGTACACTCAAGACTTTTTTTTTTTTATTATTCCTCTTTCTTTAGGGGGATATGTGCTTCCCAAACACTGCTGTGATAAGCTCTAGAAATTATGCTTGTAGCATCCCAGTATTGTCTATCATCTAAAGAATATTCAGGTCTCCACTTCCTTGTATCAATAAACATTCCATGAGAAACAACATATTATAAGGAAAAGAATAAGCTTAATTATTCTTTTGAATAGCTTTAGGCTAGCTAAACCTTACTACCTTAAGCATGCATAATGTCTTAGATAATGTTGGCCAAGCAGTGACTGCACTTAAGAGATGAGTGATTGGAAGTCAGGTTATAACTGTGATAGCTATGAAAGTAAAAGTTGAATAAGAAAAATGAAAATAAAATGTATACTACTTTTATATCATACAAGGTAACAGATCCTGTTGCTTCTAAATACTATTGTCTTTGGCCTCATATACATATGCTTTTAACCATTATTCTTTATTTTTATTGCTAATCTAGAAATCTTTTGTTGTTTTGTAGTTTACTTTGTGGTAATATTTAATATTGCTGTACTAACATGTGTTTAGACTTATCACCTATTTGTGTAATATTTTCACCATGCTTTATATATTTAGATAAATGACTTGATAAATGATACAGCTCTTCTGTATAATCTGGCCTACACCCAATCACTAATTAGTTTTTAATTAATTGCTAGGATAGAAAGATTTTGCCTTACATTTATTTTTTAGAACTTATGCATATCCCATTGCACAAC